AGCTCTGAAATAAACCCAGAAAGTGGGCCTTGCAGAGGATGCTCCAGGAGGGGCACCTGCTACTCTAATTCTCACTGACAGGTAAGAAATCACTACCAGAGATGGGCTCTAAGTTCTACTGAAAACCAACCAAGGAATGAAGGAGCAGGTAGGTATCTGCCGGAGCAGAGAAGGCTCTTCCTAAGACAGAATGCAGGTAGGCTCTGCCAGGAGGGAGGCCAAATCCTGCCGTTCGCTACAACCTACCATGGCCGGTAACCTGGGAAATGAACCGCCCAGAAAGCACGGAGCCAGAAGGGGCTGAAAGTGTTGAAGCCCACAATAAGACACAAATCTCATTTTCATCAGAGACCTGTCTGTCCATCCTGAGAGCCCCTCATTGTTAGAAACGTTCAAGAGGTCAATTTCTCGTCTAACCAAATGAGAGAAAGAAGTGGGGGAGGATTCTATCCCATCTCCATCTTTTACTCCTTGAGCCTAGGGCCAGGATCCTTAAGAGGTAATAAATGGTCAGAAGGAGGGGACAGGCCCAATGTGATACTCATGCATTTCTTCCTCTCATCATGTACCGTGTCCTGGCCCTACTTAAGGACAGAGGTGGAGAAAAACCTACAATGATAAGATCACTGAGTGTAGAGCAGAATAGGGTCTCAGGAGATGATCTAGAGAAGCAACATGACCCAGGAGAGCATATTACCCCAGATCAAATCTCAGGTCTACCCTCTCCTAGCTGTGTGATGCCAGGCAAGGCGCTTAACCTCTCCGTTCTGAGTTTCCTCACCCACTGCAAACGGAGAGGATGATTATACCTTCCTCACAGGTTGCTGTGAGAGTTAGGAAATATGCAAGTATCTGTAGTTATTATTACTGTCACAGAAGGCGGTCCTAGGGCTTTGTGCTACATCGACTCACGTTCTCACTTCGAGAAGCATCTAAGGAAGCCCTCTAAGAAAAGCCACAGCACTGAAGTTTCACAGACGGCGTTCATGAGTTGGAGTAGACCTGGTTAGTCTGTGACAACTACTCCCCCAACCAGAGGGGGGCCCAACTCTCTCATCCAGCTGGGGACATTGCCTCCAAGTGCGTCACATTCACTTTCCTGTCCCTTTACCTACTTGTCCTCAGTTATTCAGTCCTCTCTCTGTGTGTCTTCTCAGTATTTGGCTCCCAGGAATCCGTAGAATAATCCAACCCATGCCATTCTTCTCTGTCCCAAACACCTGGCCTAAGACACTGCCTCAGTTTCGGGTCCCAGAAGCCCAACTTGGGAAATATAAGGTCTGGATGGCTCCCTGTCCAGGCTGCCTCTAACAAGGGGTGAGAGCAGATGGATTCCTCTCTGTGGCTGATTATTTTCCATGGCCCTTGGCCATGTGACCTTGGACCATGATCTTGTCAGTTCTCATAAACTAACCAGGAGTGGGCTGAGTCACACACAGAGAGGAAACCTCTGGGGAAAACCGCAGGGCTGTGGGAGGAAGGAGAGCAAGCTGGGATCCCAGAGGCCATGGGAGACTCACCCCTCCACTCCCCCACCTCTAAGCAGCTTTGACGTTACATGAAAGAAAGGAGAAGAGGCATCCTCAGGAGGACAGCTGAGCTTCAGGCGGGCTACTCTTTTGAATAAAATTTGGGGACTCAGTGCAAGGGGCTAATTGTCCCCAAGACCTCCAACTTGGAAAGTCTATCTTCCTTGGTCATTCCTGGAACCCTTGGTCATTGATACCCAAGTCTCTATGCTTAGGAGCCCCGGTTCATCGTAATAAGATAAATTAGAGAAAAGCTGACAGGCAGACACACACCGCCCCACGCCCATGTTGGCTCGGGGTGTCCTGTGGGAGGTCAGGTGAGGAACACTGATAATAACGCGGGAGTAAGCCGCGTAGGCCCTCGGTATGCTGTTGATGGTGAAGATGTTCTGGGGATGCTACAGGAAGTGTCTACATTATGCAAAACACAAACTGAAAATGAGGTGCCAGCAAAATCTTCATATTCCCCAATACCCTAAAGTCGAGTGTTTCATAAACAGACCCCCGAGCTTCTCTGCCTACTTTTCTTTTACTCTGAATAATCTTTGGGCTTCAAAGTTGTGCGTCTCCGTAGCTTTGGGTCAAGAGTTACCTTGAGTTAATGCACGTTTAGGGAAGTTATTCCTGAGTAAAATATGCAAATGTAAACAAACGCCTTAACTATGCATGTGTTTTAATTATTTTCGGGGCACTCCCTCGATTAAATCCTTGGGAGCAGCGTACATGTGTGTCCATGAACACAGCACACACACTATGCACACACAAGAACATGGGGCGAAACATGCTATTTTCAGAGTCTGAACTCTGTCTTTCAACAAAGTTTAGCTGCTTTCCTTTTGCAAATGCATTTAATTTTATCTGGAAACTTTTTGACGTTAGAAATAGAACAACTGTAGTTTCTCATTATGTTTGCTGCCAGAATCCATGCTTGGTTGCTCAACTAAAGACCTTATATTGCTAATTACTACCACATGCCCAGATCCCGAGCGCAAGAAAACTTATTGATTCTGACAGCCCATTCTCTCAACACTGAATTCCAAATGCAAACTCAAATTTTGGCCAAACATAACATTTCATCAATCTTGTTCTACTGACTGGAAAAACAACATCAAACAAAGGGTGCTAATGGCCCTTTATTACCGTTCCTTTCCCAAGCTTATATTTTCTGATGAAAGATCTCAGTGACCAAAGGGCTTCTTTAAACTACTTAGTAATTAGCTTTTGAACCGGGAAACAATGCGTAAAGTAAAGCGAACAGTCCCGGTGCTGATGACAGACCTGCTCTCTGTCCGCAGGGTTGGGGAACACTGGAGACCCAAAGAGAACATTAAAAGCAAAGTGTGCATTTTCATAAAGGGAATGGAAAAAAATAAGCAGGCTAGGCGCGGTGATAAAAGATTATAGAGATGGAGGCAGAACAAAAGCTGCGGGAAGCCTGTGATCTGAGGGCCTTGCCGCATGGGGCTTTGGGTGGAAATGCCAAGGCGAAAACGACCGGATCAGACCGGGCCGGCGGCGAGCCTTGGGCTGAGGGCCTGGGCCGGCTCATTCATCAACAAAGCCGCCAGCCACCAGGCCCACCCACATTTGGCTTGGGAAACTATTTGGGGGGGGGACAATTTACCTGGAGTGAGAGTCAAGAAATATTTTCAACACAGACTTCGGGGCAACTGATTTTATTGCCTCCTTCAGGGGCAGTGATAGGAAATGCTGGCTGGGGCAGGGGTGGGGAGGCTGCACAGAGCCCAGCCCCCCAAGAGCCTTCTGCTCTGTGGCAACCTGTCCACACCTTAGAGGCAGGACAAAGGGAGAAGCTGTTTTCCTCCTGGCAGGGAGCAAATGACCGCTGGGATCACTAGACAGATTTGGCCTTTCGGCTCCAACCAGTGGCCCAGAAATGGGAACAGCTTGGTTCTAATCTCGTCCAGGGCTGTTAAGGTAATCGGGAGAGGGGGCCCCGGCAGAGGAAGGTGGGGGAGCACGCTGCCTCCACGGAAAAGACGCCAACTGGCTGCCTCTCGCCCACGGTCCTTTGTTCCTTTGGAAGGAAACGGGTGTCCTGTGGGTAGTTCCAGAGAATGAGCCCTTCTCCCCGCCTCTTCAGCTTCTGAAGGGAGGACTGGACACCTGAGCTCAGGACGTGCTGGAACCGCCTCAGGAGAGGAGGTTCGCCACCTACCGGGACTGTCAGGCGACAAGGAGAGGATGGGGGGAGACGCCACCCTGCTGGTTGGATTTTCTCTTAAAAAACAGAAGAGGCTATTTAAGAATTTATCTGAAAATGAATGAAAAGTGCCTAATTCCAAAGCAGGAACTTCTGTAACAGGGAAGGGGCAGGAGTAATGCAAATACCCTGCGTCTAGAGCTGGGTGGGAGCGCACACAGGTACCAATGTCCCGAGCTATAGCATAGAGCTGTGTGGGTCTTACTCTAGGGAAGTTAAAACTACGACAAAACCTCAGAAACAAAGCTATGTGCCCAGGAAAAAGCTTTAAAACAGCCAGCCCTGCCTCCCTCCAACACTGTTCTGGAGAGACTGTGGCCGGCAGAGGACGGGGTGCTGAGGTCCTACCATGTACTCGGGGGTGAAACCTCTGGTGGCTCATGGACACACATAATGATATTGAAACTGATATTAATAGTGATCTGAGCACAAGTTGAAAGAGACCTCATGTAGAAAGCATCGTGTATGGGAAGCCAAACAAAAGACTCATCAGCCATAGCATGTAGTGTCCTGACATACCATGAAATATTATTTCTTGCCCAAAAGGAATTTCAACTGAGTCATGAGTCCCTTTGAGAATAAGCCCTGTGTCTCCTGGCTAAAGAGAACTGGTTCCCTGGTGGCCACACCTTACAGTAGGCAAGCTGACCCTGACCCTGCCCTCCCCAAGAATTCCTTGCTGGAGTAAGATCTCATGTTATTGCTACACAGAAACCCCCATAAGAGGGGCCAGAGTGCACCCACCAAGCCAGCTGGTATGAAGAGGGAATGAGCATGGTTTACTGGTTAGGGATCAGAAGAGAAAATAGGGGCCCAGTTACATATGGACCCTTCCAAGATAAATCCATGTCTCTTGGAAAGGTGTGCGGGGAAGAAAGTTGTGAATGGGAACAGGGTTAGGTAGTTGGTTCAAGTGTGACAACCTGGGGTCGCCTCTGACACCACACCCCACACAGAATGTGGCCCTTCCCTCAGAGAAGCCCCCTGGTGACTCAGGTGCCACCACCATAGGGACTCTTGGAAGCCACTCAACCACATCTTCTCTGGTGCAGCTGACTTACTTTCTGCCTCCATGTTTGTTAAAAGTCCCGCCGAATTTATTCCGATTCAGGATGAGAGCAGCAATTTCGGGCACGTAGCGGGCAAACATTGCCTACATGCATGAGACAAAGAAACAAGAGCCAAGAAAACAATGGCATGCAGAGAGGACTCCCCGCAGCGGAGGCAGCACCTCTGGGCATACTTACTTTCTTCCACTAACCGCACTATAGGAGCCCCCGTATTTCTTGCGGTTTCCTATTAACTCTATGATTTCAGGGACGTAGCTGGCAAACATGGCCTGAGGAGAAGATAGGAGACAGAGAGAGACTAAAAAGACAGGCCAAAGAAAGGGGTGACCGTTCAGAAGGGGGGGGATACTAAGATCTGAAAACACAAAAGGATTAGGACTGCAAAAGTGCATACTAATACGTTGGATCATTTTTTAAAAACACAAGAAGGGTAAGTTCCTGAAAATACACAGGACAAAACACACATTAGCCAACCTAGGCAACTAAAAAAAAAAATCACAGTTGAGAAAAATATGAAGGAGACAGGAATAAATAAGTTGACATCTAGCTCTCCTTCCTGAAGTGAAATGAGTAAAGGGGGATGCATGCTGGGGAAAGTACACACTTGCACACACGCACACAGATGCTCGCACGCGCGCACACGTGCAAATCATCGCCAGAGAAGACCTTTCTAGTTAAAATTCAAAGGAGGGGCAATGCCTTTATGAGTGATTAAAGACAATAAATACCAAAGGGAGGATTAAAACAATACAAACTTTTACAATTTAAAAGGTCATTCAAGAGCACACAAGGTAAACTGAGGAAATCACATGGGAGGAAATGACAGCAAGGAGGACACAAATCTGCCATGTTTTGTCCAACAAACATTGCGCCTGTGGCTGGATCAAGGGGTCTCATTCCCTGCGGGGCCTCCCAGATGCTGCGGGAGCACTTGCGGTCTTGCGGTGATGTACGCACACGCATGTACATTTACATACACTTTTACATGTATATGTCACATGCATACAAAACAGAGAGACGTGTATGCATCGTGTAAATGTGTGTGCGGTACACACACGAGCGCGCTGTGTGAGAAGCAGGATTTTAATCACTTACCTCGAACACAGCAAACATCTAAACTTAAAGTGAGCTGCTCTGAGACAAAATGCTGGGCTGCCAGAAGTCCCCCTTGAAAATTACATCATAACCGACCCTTCTGATCTGCAGAGAGCAGAACAGAGACCAGGGAAACTCTCTGACTTGCAGAGGGGAGGAAACCAGCCCGGGTGCTGCACATAAAGCACTGAGCCGGCAGTTTATAAAACCAGCGCAGGGCTCACGTGGTGACGTCCACCCGGACAAGATCCGTGGGCCTCTACCTCTGCTGTGGGGACCCTGCTCTCTAGGGCGGGCCCCAGCCACAGTGTTTGTTGGAAGCGTGGGGAGGACCGTCAAGGGGCGGGAGGGCTCTTGAAACCGCAAACTGTCTATAGAGTATTGACAGCATCTACCAGGGTCAGGCGACAGCAAATGTCCTTGCAGAGTGTCAGATGCCGAATTACATTACTAAGGACAGACGCTCTCACTTACGTGAGCATCGCTTTCCTAAGATGATTAGGTTTTGCTCCTGGCTAAATGGCTGTCCCTGGTGAGGGCGACACACCTGGGTCTCTGGGAAACAAGTGTAATACACCAAAGACATATGCAGAAAAGTCACCCTCATGCTGGACTTACTGAGCCTGATGGTAATACTAAGGCATCACTTGCTTCTAATGCAGAAACACAGTATCAAAATACAAAGCTTTAAGGAAATGGACAATAGAAAATATTAATGACCATAAAAATCAGCTTCAGAATAAAGAGCTTTTACCAGTCCCCCGAGGATGAAGAAGACCATGAAGAGGCGCCCGAGCGTGGTTTTCGCATAAACGTCCCCGTAGCCGACAGTGGACATGGTGACCATGAGTAAGTAGACACATTCCCAGTAGGTAAGAGCCTGGTTGTTTTGGAAATTTTCCCATGGGTCCCCTGAATTCTCCACCTGAAGCCAGGGGACGGGGGAGAAAAGGGAAACATTATATTGTATATATAATAAACCGGGAACACAAATGCTCCAGCAGGATGCTTCTGGAGGTGCAGCCCTGTCAGCACAAGGTGTTTGCTGCCCCGGGCTGAGTTCTGTACGTGACGGCTGAGCAGGTAACAGAGAAAGCGGAGGGGGAGCAACACAGTCGTGCCTTCCTAGCTGATGGGGCGAAGGCGGAGAGGAACGGAAGTGAACGTCCCCAGTCCATTTTCCCTTCTCATCATTAAAGATCTGAAGCCAGCTGAATTGTAGGGCCTTGCCCTGGCCATATTTTATGGCATTCCCATCAACAAAAGGGCCAGAGAGCCCTGCCCTGACCTTCCTCAGTGAGTTCCCGCTCAGTCTCGGAGGGCCTAGCTCACACGCTCCGGGGAAATTCTAGACCCCCCCAGAGGGCCTCCTCCTTTCATCATCTGGCCAAGGGCCTTGCTCCTCCAGATCTGACGCCCAAGCCCCAAGCAGCATCTCCTGGAGTCTGACTCGGCTCCTGCTTTGCCGAATGTAAGCAATGGCTCCACCCTGCAAACCACAGGAGTTTCCCTGGGAGCTCAGAAAGTGGGCTCATGAGGACAACTCACTTTTGCACTATGCTTTAGACCTAGGGTTAGCAGGCTTTTTCGGTAAAGGGCCAGATAGTAAATACTTTCAGCTTTGCAGGCCATGCAGGGTCTGATCTCTGTAGTGACAACTCAACTCTGCACTTGTGAGTGAAACCGGACGGGAAAAATACTGAAACTGAGGGAGCAGGGCCACGTTTGGAGACCTGCGGCCCAGGGCTGCAATTTGCCCATGTCCAAATTTCACAAAACACTCTCAGTCCTCTCATATTTGATCTGCCCACCAAGCTGGGAGGCAGGCAAGAGAGAGACTTTAGATACTCTCAGGAGAGAGGGAGAGATGGGGCTGGATCTCCAGGACCAATGCCTGCGATCGGTCCGTGTGGCCAGAGCAGAGGGGACGCCCCCGGGCCCGCAGGCCCCCAGACCTCCAATTCTGTCTCTCCAGAAAGTGTCCAAGACCTGGCCTCTTTCACACATCAACACCTGTCCTCAACGTGCCATTTCTATGGCCTTTCCTGGTGTGGCAGGAGGTGCTTCACACAGTGGTAAGGCGAGGTCACCGGCCTACTGAAAACGACGAACCCATCCATACCTGCGGTTTAGGCACTTGGCAGAATTAGGGTGATTATGGAAGGGTGATTTCAGCCAAGAATCCCATCGGCATAAAGCGGAGGGTAGGTGGGGAACCATCAGATCTAGCGATTGAACGAGAGCCCGGCTTCCATCAGAGCTGTGCCCCATGGGGTGAAAATTACATAAGTCCCCACGGAAGGCGGCTAAACGCGTGTTTCCACCCTTTATGCGAGAGCGGCTTGGTCAGGAGAAGGCACCTTTACTCGGAGCTGCAGACTTAGAGGAGGTTCTTTCAGGTGTAACAGTTTGTATTTGTATGAAACAGGCCCCTCGACAATAGCTGTGTTCCCTAAAAGCAGGGGGAAAGTCTGCCTTAAAGAGGTGAGAACAGCTTGACTTCATAATATAAGGCTTTCAAAGAGCCGTTCATTTAAAAGAATTAACATTTTTTTAGATACAGAATAACTTGACAAGTCATCAGGCAAGAGAATCAAAGGTGGCTTTTTGTAACCGGGAAAAGAAATCGAGGCTTCCGAATTTGTTGTTTACAAAGAGAAGTGGGTCAAACTTCCAACCCCGTCCCCAAGACAGTTGTGGGGCGTTTGCTGGGGAAGCACTGCCATCTTGTGGCTGGTCGCGGGTACTGCAGACAGAATGAAAACGGACCCAAGTCCCAGGGCGCGACCGGTGAGCTGAGAAAGGCTGAACGTGAGATCGTTACTCGGCATTCGGAAGCAGTTTGGGGTAAGAGACTGGAAACCCAGACAATGGCTGCTGCTTCTTTTCCTACATTCTGCAGCTGGGTTTAAGGTTCTCAACGGCAAGGAAAAAATGCAGGTAATAAAATGACGCAGGGAGGCGCCTGCTCCAGGAAAGCCAGAGCAAAAGCATCTTCAAGGATACTTACCAAATGGATGAACCCGGCTGCTGTGAGCCACGTGCTGATAAATATGGAGAGCAGATTCACCAGCTTGATGGAATTACTGTGCAAAAGAGACAGGGGAAAAACCCAAGTTACAAAAGGAGTCCCTGTTGGGGCTGCCCCTTCAGAGGACGAAGCTCGCCTCTGACTCCCAGTGTGTTCTCTGACTGGGAAGGGAAGGAATGCCCCGGAGGTGGCATAAGCAGGTCAGGCCAGAGCCTATGAAAAGGTTACATCAGGGCTACTGAAAGTTGTCCCAAAATGAACCCCTCCGGTTGTGCTCAAGCTTTTTTTTTAATTAACTTTTATTTTAAAAGTCTTTAAATCTACAGAAATAATCAAAGAACAGTATAAGGAACACTTATGTGCCCTTACCTAGGCTGACTAATTAACATTTGCTTTATCTCCACTCTTTTCTTTCTTTCTGTCTTTCTTTTTTGGCTGAACCATGTACAAGTAGATTGTAGCCATCATGACACGCCCCCTAAAGACTTCAGCATTCAACAGCTACAAATGGCATTGAGCAATACAATTGCATGCCTCGGAGAGTTCACACAAATTCAGTAAAGTCCTCCAATAAGCACTCCTATTTAAATTTCTCCATTTATTGATGTTTTCGTTTTTTTCACCCTGATTCAGGAACTAACCAAGGTTCATACATCGCGTCTGGTTATAATGTTGCTTTAATCCAGGGGTCAGGAACGTTTCTGTAAAGGGTCAGTTGGTAAATACCTTCGGCATGGCCTGTCATAGAGTCCCTGTTACAACTACTCAAAGCCACACTGTGGGACTAAAGCAGCCTTAGACAACATGGAAAGGAATGGATGTGGCTGCGTGCCAATAAAACTTTATTTACAAAGCAGGCAGTGGGCTGCCGTGGGCTATATCACTTGCCAATCCCTGCTTTAATTTCCATTAGCCTACAATCTACCCCTTTTTTGTTTGTTTTTAGTGACATTTAATTTTCTGTGCAGCAGGTTGGCTCTCTTATGGAACGCCCCATATTGTGGATTCGTCTGATTGGTTCCCCATGATTAGATCCTGTTTAAGTTCTGTTAAGAATATCTGCCTCGAATGGCATCACATCAGGAAATCCAAACTCAGTCACACAGGTGGAGTCACTTGGTTACCATGGGAATGCCAGGTCTGGCCGCAGAAAGGCGCCCCTTTCCCTTTGAATTCATCTGCCATCTATGCAGAGAGACTCTGAGACCATGAGAATATCCTGTCCCCATCAACTTATACCTAATCATTTCAGCACCCACCAGTGCTCCCTGAGTGGATCAACTGGAACCCACTCAACTTTAAGCTCGCTGAGAGGAGGAGCCTTGTATGCCTGGGTCCCAGGAGCAGTGAGTCCCTGGCGCACAGTAGGGCTTCTATGAATATGTGCTGAGTGAACTGGTCTCTTCTTCTGCAGTCCTCCCACTAAGTGTCACCCTTTCACTCCCACTTGGGCTGAGCTCCTTGGCTGCTGCTGTCAGCAGGTCACTTCCCTGTCCAAAGGCTCTCTGCTGAGTGAAATGTTTGTCCAAACGCTCTCCTTCCGTCTCCAGCACTGTCTGAAGCGCTAGGCTCTCCTTCTGCTATTCTTCTACATAAACTCTTGGAAGGTTCATCACAGCCAGACCTACTTACTATGTCTCTGTCTATTACTCAGGTGGAACACCCTTCCCATCTATCCAAGTCTTCTCTTCAAAGCCTGGTTCAATCCCCACCTTCCCCTGCAATACAAAGTGGCTCCTCCTCTGTGCTCTTACCTCCAGCCACTCTTTGGTCATTGATCCCACTGTCTTAAGACTTCTTTTGTAATATCGGTTTAGATGGCTGTTTAACTCATATACCTAACCTTGCAAGAAAGATCTCTATCCTTTATCTTTTTCCGCCTCTCCATAGTGGTCAACACCGCCCACGGGGTGGTCCAGCCCATCATGCTTGATGGATTGACCTCTCCCTCCTCTCACCTCTCTCTTAAGGGAAACCAACGATTTAAATTCTAAAAGTTTAAGATAATAGTAATAGGAACAGTAATGGCTAACACTTTTATTATGAGCCCCACCGTTCTAATGCATTAGAAAGAGCTTCACATACATTAACTTATCTAACCTTCATAATGACTCTATGAGGTCACCCAGAGATTAGGAGACGACCCAGGTTCACACTGCACGTGGCAGAGTTGGAATCTGGGCCCAGGCAGTGCGGCTGCAGGGCCTGTCCTCTTGGCCACACTACAAACCAACAGTCCATCAGAAGGTCTTCCTGACTGCTGACCAGGCTGTGCCCCCAACACTCTGCGCATAGGACACGAGAAAGGGTTGAGGGTCCTGCCCCAAGGGGGAGCGAGACTATCTCTACACATTGATTAACCTCTAGAACTGCCACGGAAAGGAATGGAGAGGAAGGTTCTGATGACCGAGTCTATCCTGGGGCCCCACGTGGAGGAACGTGGGATGGGCTGTGGTCCACGGGAAGCCGGGGTAGAGGAGGAGCTGCAGTGGGGTCCGGGTCAGTGGTTCCAGGACGGGGAGGACACCAGTGCCCAGCTCTCCTCTTCCTTCTGCCTTTGTTCCTCTACATGACTGAGCAGGGCAAGCCGTGGTCTTAGCTTCCTAGAGTTGGTTCCGACAGTTCAAGGAGAGAGTAAGTAGATATTTTTACTTTTACGGGTGAGACCAGATTTTTTTGAAGTGTTGCAACAACTCCTTCATGGTTCGAAACCAGACTAGAAAAACAACAAAGAAGCTCGCTGTGTCTTTCCTGGTCATCTCCAGAGTTGCCAGGCATTAGTCTATAATCATGGCCAGTGTTTATTGAACCCCTACTATGGGCCCTGAGCTGACACCTTCATTATCCTCAGCTATTTCCCTTTGAGACAGGTACTAGCATTATTCCTGCTGCCCCAATAAGGAAGGTGATGTTTGTTGAGCTTAAGCAGCTTGCCCGAGGAAGCATGGTTAGTAAGCGGTGGGGTCAATATTCAAACCTAGGGCTGCCTGACCCAAAGCCTGCTGACCTAAATAACTTGGAGGGGCAGTGCAGCAAAGGCACGTGGACCTCTGCTTCTATGGCTCTTGGCTTTGCCTCACATCTCTTCCTCCAGGCAGCCCTGCGGGTGGACTGGGTGTCAATCAAAGGTCCCACCGGCCCTTCTACTTGAGTGGCCAGAGCCAGGTTGACCAATGGAGGAACTCCCAGCTCTAAAGAACTGTGAGGGAGAAATTTTTAGAGGCATTTTCAGAAACTAAGTGGGAGAGAATCTTTCTCTTTCTGACTTTTGGGTACAAAAAACATAAGCCTGAAGCTCTAGAGGGCCACCTGCCCTGGAGAAAGCCTGCCTGGGAATGAAATCAGAAAGACATGGAGAGAGAGGCAGGACCCTGACAAGAGAATCGGAACCCCTCAGTCGGACATGCCCAGCTTCCTCTTGGACCCACAGTAACCCAAGGCTAGTTCGAGGTGGACTCTGTCACTTATAATTAAAAGCCATTTGCCTACGATAGAGAGTTGATATCCAAAGTGCTCTCAGAGAACCCCAAATTGATCAGGTCTATAAAGCAGGTCTGGGACTGTCTCCATCTGAGGAAGGACGGCATATCCTGTTCCACCCCCTACTGTGCTGACCAGTTCATTCCGGGGCCCTAGGAGTTCCCGTAAGAATCAGGCACAGATCCACCAAAGCCTGGCCTTTGTCCCTTCTTCCAGACACTAGCTACCATGGGTCCTGCCGCACCTCTAAGAAGTTGCTGTAGATATGAATGAAGATCAGGGACTGGCCATAGCAATGTTTAAAACCTCCCACCTGAGCCTCCTTAGAACTGGGAGATGCTGTAACTCTTGCAGTATTTCTGTTCCCTAGAGCAGCCGGCCAGCCCCAGAGGCTACTCGCTGGCCTTGCCGAGCCTTTTCTCTCTAGAAAAACAACCCTCCTCCCCCCAGATATCTGCACAGTGGAAATAAGGCAACTAGATAAAAGGCATTTACCCAACAAGCCACATCAAGTGAAGCAACTCTGGCAATCGGTGAGCTGAACACTGTAGCAACCAGATCACCACCATGCCCTGTCCCATTCAGTTCCTCAATGGGAAGCCAAACCAGAGGAGAACCACCCCCACCTCTGCCTGGAGAGCCCTCTAGGGTGCACTCCAACAGCGGAGAGTGAGGAATACAGAAGAACAGGTAGCCAAAGGCAAAGGGAAGCAGGTACAGTCCATTTTCTCAGATGATAATTAAGTACCAAGTTGATTCACTCCCTGACCCCCAGACCCTTAAGGCCCGAACAAAGCAACGTCCCACCAAGAACCTTGTGCAGCCTCTTGAAGTATCAAAACTATTAGAGTCTCTGAGCCTCTTGGTGCTTTGGAAAAAATGACCTAAATACGGTGATAATTAATCTTTAAGTGATTAGTCACCTTAATATTAATAGTGCTTAAGGGAGCTCTCGCTGCTCGTAGAGTATTTAATCATTGCTGCTGAAGAGTCCATATTCAGCACTGAAATGTGATTATTTTTATGGTATCAGCATCATTACAGGTCCCTGGTCTTAGGAATTTGTTTTCCAAATTAAACTCCACAACCAGGCAATCATCTAGAAGCAAAAGATGCAAGATTAACTCTTGGTGGACACTGTCCATACTCTGAAACTAGAACCTCACCAGGTTGCACAGGGCTCCTTGGAAGGAGGGTGGGTAGCAGAGATGGGGTTGTGTGCTCGGCGTGGCAAATGAGGCACTGGAGACAGTCATAAACTTTATGGCCAAGCCCCGGGTCTGAACCAAACACGACTCTCCCAAAGGTTAGAATGATTGGCACTATTCAGATCCTAGCCCACTCCCCTTGCCCTGAGGGAGGGGTGGATTGTGACTTTATCATGAGAACCCAATTCATCTAAGGAAATTCTGCTTCTGGGTTTCCATGGTCATTTCTGGGTCTCACGAGTTCTCACTAGCCATTAGAGAAATGCACATCGGTGGATGCTGCGAATCATCAGGGCAGGCACGAGAGACCTCTCTTGTTCCTGTGGATCAGGGGCCTTTTCCAGGACTCTGTGGACACTGGGTATCC